TTTTCAAGGTACGGGTAAAGACTTATATTGTACCATAAGGGTAGAAGAGCTATGGAAGAGTGAAGCCCTACTTATAGGAAGTAGGGCGCGCTAGTATGCTGTGCCTGAGGCACGAAGGCAACTACAGATCATGTAGTTGGCGCCGTGACAATATTAATATTTTTCAAATAATATTAGAAATGGGATTTAAAGAGTATAAACAAATATCTTAAGGAATTAGAATTCTTATAAGCAATTCTCTATTGTATGCTAGCGATCTGCTCAGTATATAATGATTTCGAAAGTTATTACTAATAATTTAAATATAAGGAAGTAATAATCTATTGCTTATGCGGAATATTCAAATCCTTTGAGTATATTATGTATTGCCGCAAAATCCTTATGATCTATGAAACCTAACTTCCAGATATCAAGCCCAAATACTTATTTTGCAATTAAATAATTCAAGAATAATTATTGAAATAGCTAATGTATATATCAGCTAAATTCACTAAATTTATTACTATAATAAACTTTTATAAAAGTATATGCTTTAAAATACTATCAAAAAAATAAAAGGAGAGAAGGAAAGGGATCGATTGATCTAAGCGAATATAAGCAGAGAGTAGGAGGGGATAGATCTAGAAAAGCTACGTGGAAAAAAATTGAAGCACGCAATATACTATGTTGCAATAGAATATATACAAAAGCTATCTTTACAAGATAAAGCAGCTTTCAAACAAATACTATATAGGAAATCGGAAAGCACGCACGGAGACACTCAGAGGATTGAAGACAAAAGCACAAGTACACTAACCATCACTTAGAAGGCTACTGAGAATATTGAGACCTCATCCCTAGAAAAAGGGGATTATATAAATTAGAAGATCATCCCACAGTTAGCCCAACCGTAATGCCCCCTGGGAGGCTCGCCTATACGGCCCGGTTGAAAATTACTAATAATAATAATAATAATACTGTATCAAAGGTATTTAGGCGAATGCGAAGGAGACTAGCTCTTTCAGTAGTGCCTATATAAGGCCTACTATTTCCCCTCATTAGCTAGCTCTTTAGAGATTGAATACAAATAGACATTTAGGGGCCTACTGATAGTGGGAACCACGTCTTCCGTATCTCTCTCGAACCAACAAATTCCTTTAGAGTAAAATTTTCTAGTTATATATATATAAATTAATCATATTAATACTCTACGATCTATTTTTTTCAATATAATATTAAGTATTGAAATTCTAATTACAATTGACAAAATAATTTATTCGTCAATTACGGATTCTGTTACTATAGGGAATTAGAGACTTTGTAGATATGAAATAATACTATCATAACTTGTATTATGATGATTGCGAGTAACTCTCTATGCGTACTAGAATCAAAAAGAAATTAACTATCAAGAGTCCTTCTAGTTCTCTCCGCCCAATATAAGATCTTACCCAGGTAGATTCTAGGTAGGTTCTAATCTTGTCGAGCACGTCGCTTCGCATATTGATGCCTCAGGTATTAATGACAAGCGACATATCGTCTCATTTCATTATGCCTTGTCCACGATCTATTTCCAATATGGAGATTCATTCTTAGGACTTGTGAGATGAATGCTCCCAGTAGAAGTAGCTTGGTGATAATTAATATAAGAAAATCAATTCTTACGTCGTTTCCATTATTTTGTACCAGATCCCTGAGTCTAAAAGCGGGGTAAGGCCTACTTTTAAGACGCGGAGTAGACAACGACGAAGAATTATGATCACGCATGATACGGTGATCTCACTCGACGGAGAAGAGATGCCCGTTAGGTGATCGCTTGTTTTGAATCCTAAATTCATTCAGACTGCGGGCAAACTAGTAGTATGTCCCACAAGTTCTTTTGCTTGTGATCCGCGCTTCAGAACCGCAACATCCCACCGCCCTCCCATTTTCGAAATTTTAAATTATTGCATACTTCCATTAGGGTACAAAATATTCCCGAAGAGAAATTATGGTAGCCCGCAGTGAGGGTCTCAGCGATCTCTGCACGATACTTGTCCTGCCCAAGTATGAGTAATGCTGCGCTTAATGCAATGGATGCGCGAGATCTGACCCATGAGCTCGAAGAATAATATGTAAGAATAACGAACAAGAGTAATGGATGAAACTAAAGTATCATTACCATTATGATATCCCTCTTGACATCGAAGCCCGTGACGTTTTTGGGGAATGTTATCCAGCTTGAATCAATGACCTTTGTCTTTGGGGTCAATTTCGGCAGAGCCTTGCGTCAGCAGCCGAACTTAATAAAGACACAAGTGCTTGAATTTGAATTTCAGCATTGTGGCAGTTATGGGCCAAACACTCGTAAAAAATGGCTAGCAGGAGCCGTGTAGCCCCCGCAGCTTCTGACCAGATAATCGCATTCCCACACACCCGCTCTGCAGCCGAAGCTGGTCGTATCCTACTTGTCCACGCCAAACTTTCGGTGACTGAGTCACACAATTGTATAGATACCCTGGCTACTGATTTTCTGACACACTAAACCCCTTCGATGATCTGCGGCATGCTCTTCAAGATCTGACAGCCTGTTTGTTTTGTGAATTTGGCGATCTTACGCCATCGTTTGATGCATTTGACCTCCGAATATAACCATGATTCAGAATCGCACCTTCATTTCGCCAACTTTGAGGGTATGCTAATATATCATCGAGTTTTGGCTTGTAAACCCCTGGATTACAGTGGTCAGTCCTTGAGAGAAAACTATCTGTAGAATTTCTCGTGGAAAATACACTCGAGGCCCACATGAAATGCTTGCTTGTGTCTCAAAGAACTCCCGGTTGTCTTCTGGCACTTCCAGTGCAGGTCTTGGTGAAAGTGAAAGGAATCATGAATTGTTAAAATGTCTTCTGCTCTTATTTGGGGGTGTCGGCCTCGAAAATGCAAATTTCGTGCAGCAGTAGAGATATATGTCCGCGTATTGAAAAGCTTTCCGAAAGAGTCCTACGTCTTATCGCTCTTCGATCACTTCTTGCACCTGCCCTAGTTTATAGTGTAGTGAATTGTTTCTCGGGTGGATCCTAAGTCTGGGCACAAGACATCAGCCACCCTTGTCCCCGCAGAATATTGAAGCCTCACAGAATTGTCGTTAATATGGGCTGCTGTCAATCCCAACTAATGTTTTTAGTTGCTAAAAAGATTGTTTGGGAGTAAAGCACCGACTGCAAAATTGGGACTGTCCAGTCGTGTCAACATTAAAAATTATGAAGGAAAAACTCCAAAGTCCAAATGTAAGTTCACAAAAGAAAGGTGTTTGAGAAGGGTTAGACTTCTGATTTAAAGTCCGTAGACTGAGGTTTATTTTTGGTAGTTTTGTTTATTTCTGGTTCGACAACACGTAGCTCTATTTTTGCAGTGTGCTTTTTTCACCGAAGCCGCTACAACTCCGTAGATGGGGCTTCTCAGAAGAATGGGACTGAACACCCTAAATAACTGTGCTAACCGATCATACAAACGTGAGCGGTAACTACAATCATGTAGTACAACCCCCACCTTAATCTGTACATCATTCCTGTTCCACTCAAGAAAGCTCCAGAGAATGAATTGGCGGCATGGCATTTACATTGAATTCTACTCTTATTTTCTGATAGGCTCTAGATTATACAGATGAAGCCGAGAGGGACACACGAAGTTGTTGAAAATCTCGGCAGCACTATGGAGCAGTAGACTTGATATCACAACAAAAGTTCCACCAAGCACGATACACTAGTGGGTGTATAGACTGAAGGGATACTGCACAAACTGATTTGGTGATATTTCTTGCAAACTCAGTCTCAATATCCTAATATCTTGAAACTTGTTTTAATGATTAATTGAGAATTGAACAATGAAAAGCATGAGTTTTGGTGTCAAACGATTGAAGAATTAGTTTCTAACAAATCTTCAAGGTAGAGAAGTGCAAATGGTACTACAGAAATCTTAAGAACAATAGTACCTCGTTATAGATACAGAATAACCGCCCCTTCTCACCACTTTTTCATCATACCAGCAGTAAAATGTAGACTGAGATATCGACTATCAATGGATCAAAGTCTAATGACAGTCCCTGTAGTGGTATGTTCCGTAGTTAACGTAACCATCGTTTCGTTAAATACAATAAAAAATTTAATATTTAATATTGTGTTAAAAAAATCATTTGTAAAGTATTAATGTGATTAATCTTATATTTGTATATAATAAGAAAGTTTTGTTTTAACAAGATTTAGAGACTTTTTCGAAATTTCTTGATTTTCAAAGATTCTTGGTTTTCAAAGATTCTAGTTTAAAGCAAATAAAAAACTTTATTTACATTAGAATTAGATTGTTTTCCTATATAAATAATATGTTCTATATTGTATAGCGCAATAATAAAGCTTTTGATTTGAAAAATAAATTGAAAGTAAATAACAAGGAATGAAACCCTTTTTTTTCTTTTAGATTTTCGACTAATACATTTTTCTATTTTTAAATTTCTATATTCACTTTCCTCCTTTTCTTAATTCCTATACTTGTTTCCATTCATTTTTTGATTTCCTCCTAGCTCTTATATATACATACTTTCGTTCATTTGTTCTAAAAAATCTTTAAAAACTTTTCTAGATTCTTAATTTCTTTATATTCATTAAAATTTAGTAATAAATAATTCCAATTTTGAACTAGAAATGCTTGTTACTAACGAATCGATTATTTCATCAATAATAAAAGAAATATTCATGTAATAATTTATATATTAAGAGTTTATATAGAAGTTTATATTAATTTTTATTTTGTATCTAGGTATTAACTTTGTCACTACAGGGAGTAAAAGTCTTATGAAACGGTCCCTACATCAGAAGTATCCATCGGATAATCGAGCCAGAAGTCTACAACAGAACTGGGATCTTCAGCTGCCAATAATCCTGAGTCAACACCGAACAAACCAAGATTATTTTTCAAACTTTCTCTTCCTATCCTAATGCTTGAAGTCTGGGAAGTTGTTTGCCTTGGCAATGGTATTGGCCGCGATGGCTCCACAAGCCTGTAAAGATGTTCTTGGTATGTTTATACATTTGAATCAACAAGTTGCCAAAGCAGTTCAGCTGTTATACCTTGGGAACGATGAAGCATTTTCTGAGTCGCTGCTCGAACAAGTCCGGAACTGCTCCTTAAAGATCGAACGTGTACTCGTGGCGTCAAATGCCCCCACTAATTCTTCTTCTATGGTTCTGATGACACCAGGGATGAGTGTCTATCAACCGGATGGCAGTTTGTGAGTGCGATTTCAACCTGTAGTTCGATCTCCACCAATAACATACTAATAGGTCGCATTACTAGAAACGATGGCCAAGATAGAGCAGCGTGCACGCATATCATCCTCCTAGCAAAAGACGAAGATTCTATGAAGCCTCTGGCTTACCCAACCAGGTATGAACAATAACTGGGTTAGATTTCCGTGGAAAAATCTGTGCGAAAAATGTCCAGTCATCTTGCATCTCCTTGATCACAGTCTCTTACCCCGTGAAGATGTTGAACAGCGTCTCGTGTAAGATCCTCAGAATACCAACTTCCGGAAAGCTTCCTACCACTATGTCGGTGTTTACTTTACAAGATTCATGCGTTACAGGTTCGCCCAAAAGCTGGACGGATACGACAGAGTCAAGGATCTAAATGACTGGGAGGCATTCAGAGCAGTTAGACGCATAGGATTCAGACTGAAAGGCGCCAAGAATTGTGAGAAGGTGGTGGAAGATACGGAAAAGGCAGAGATGATCAACATGAGAAAATTCTTAGGAATGAAAGAAAGCTCGATTAGGGATATCTGCAACAATGGAACCGATACTGACAGTAAGTAGACACTCCATTCGACCGTATCTATCTTGGTGCTGACTTTCCGACAATAGTCACCAGCCTTTCCGGATTAGAGGTGCAGATGCCGCATAAGTTGTTTGAAGGCGACTATGAGTTCGTTTCGTTCGGTGCCTCCTCCCTCAATAAGAAAAGAAAATTTGACTAAAAATGAACAATAGAACATTGAATAGTTGATATAATGGCCATAGAGTCTCAACATGCATTAATATCGGTCTCTGTTTTATGAAAATTGTTCCATTTATGTGCCTTGCGATTATTGTTTTTTCTTTTGAGATTTCATTATGGGAAACATGATACTCGATACCAGCAAAAGATTGCTGATCAGTGCTTTGTGGGTGTGATTAGAGCTCGCAGGCAGCACTTGACGACAAATTGACTGTTTTTATATATGATTGCCCCGGCTAATAGTCTTGACATAACAATCGCACCTGCCTTGTTGAGATAACCGCGGTTTGAGCGGTAATGGATAGCACTAAACTATTATTCCTCGTGTAATTCTTTCTATAAATGTGACAGACCAGCCTTGAGACTAGTAAGTTAACATCATCCAGTGTAGATTCAAACCGAATTGGGTAATAACTTTTGCCAGTCAACAGGTCGTATCATGCTTGCACTGTAATTCCTGTGCATCCAAAGCTCGAATCATCACTAGAATTAAGAGAGAGTTCACAGTCGTATGGATAACGTCTCTTGACAATAAAATCGGGAGGTTAGTCAGGGATCGTGAGTGTTATTGTCTCGCCTTCTCTTATTCACCATACATGGGACGCTGAGAGGGCTAGTTAATTGGGGGAGGAAGGCGCGATGATCATAACATAACATGCCTGCAAAATGTTGAGGGTGAAATATCCAAGCGAATGAGGAAAAATCCCATCCTACGAAAGATTAGTTAATCTCGTAATCTTAGCTCCCGAACGTTGTCAAATAACATATGTTTCGAGTCAAGTTGATGGACGTGAAGTTTGAGTTTAGCGATGAGGTAAGCTTGCTTAGTCATGAATCACGGGGTAATGATCACACATTAACACTGACATAGGTACTGGAGCGTAGCTTGCCTTCAAACTCTAATAAGTTTGGTGTCCTCACAAACTTAGGACATTTTACATCCAAGATTCCAAGCTTGTTGAATTGCTGCCTTGTCTCATATTCAGACCACCAGGACCGATCGGTGGTTACATAATGCATGTTCCAGAATTTGAGGCCATACAATTCAGTCATACAATTTCTCATCAAGCTTGACCAGAATGGCCGTCTGCGAAAGCTTTCACAAGGGTCAAACTTCGATACAAACACCGGCAGTATCGAGCAGTCAAATACTCGGCTTTTGATTTCATGGACGCTGTTGCATCAGCAGTATTTGTGTGTAAGTGCAGCTTCTCATCTCACGTGGAGGAGTGACGCGTCGATCTTAAACATTATGGGGTACAAGCTCATCTGATGCTGGTATTTGCGACATTTCTTTTCAAATACCGACCACGCCAAAGATTATCCTTACAAAAGCACTCTCCACCTCTTGGACTCGGTGGTTAGATTTCGCTTCCACTTCAAGCCCCAAAGACTTAGGTACGCATCGTTGGCTGCAAAATATAGGGGGATGTCGATATCTCGAAAATGGTTAGCGTCCGAATTAATGCCGAAGTTCTTCCTAAGGTCGTTGGTACATCATTTCTCATCCGCTGGGGTTGCGATGGAAGGTTACTAGACACGCCTGACTATTAAGATTCATCACGATGGAAAGATATAATCTCGTGGAGCACGGTTATGACGAAGCATTACTAGGAAGCAGCCAAAGTTTCTTGTTCCACGCGAACTGTGTACACATTTCCTTATCTGCTTATCGCAAAGACCTGTGGGTAAAATTGATCATTCATTCCTTCGGCATAAGTCTTCTGACCGAAATGGACGGATTGAAACATTTGACATATATTCTGAAATCTTGTCCAGGGCCGACTCGAGTGTACACAGAATGCCTGATCAGGTCACCGAGTAACGTTACAATAAGCTTTTTCATCATTCGTTTCATTGAAGCCCTTCAAGCTGAAGTCGTTTTCTCCTAACCGCTGGGGTAAATCCACTTTTTCCTTCATCCCACCAAGTGGCTTATCGGCAATCTTGTACCCCTGACGATCGACCGGGCATTTTATCACCCAGAAGAAGGGCACCTTCCATATTTTGATATTCAATGTTTTGCATGTGCCGGGGAAAGGTAATTCCAGATGTCTCTCACATGCGACTTAATCACCATCCATCAGGATTTAACTCCTTAATTTCCTCAAATTCCGCGCCCGTGATGATTCTTGGAACTGTTTCTTGTTCCCGAGGAGAGTGTTATATCACATTTTCAGTCGAAAGTAGATACTAAGTAGGCCCTCGCGGATATTGAATTCCTTATCGAGAAGTCATTCTAACAACCTCTTACCTCCGTGAGGAATGGACGTGGGCGTCAATGGTTGGAATGTGGGAATCCCAGTTTTGGGAAATTGTCAATATCGTCGTTTGACCTCTTACCTCCAAGAACTCAATCTAAAGTTGTTATTTGATTGCAACCTGATTGACATGTTGCTGTTTGTTAAACTCAATTATCTGGGTAACGTGTGGCCACCTTGAGAGGAGCCACAAATGCACTGCTATGTAATCGCCTGAGTGTTGGTTGTGAAAATAACAAACGTAAGTATAAGAAGGTCGAGTCTACCATCCAAAGAGTGGTTCCAATAAACAACGAGACTTCACTCAAAGTAGACACTTTCGATAGCTGGACTTTTCGAAACTCTCAAGATCCACTCAGTTCATTCTAGACTCACAGTCACAACCGAACTTCAACAATTTCTTCAATTATGCCGTCGCTCTCTGCACTCGCTCCTCTTGCGGGCATTATTACCAGTATTCCTTCTGTGATTGCGGGCTTTGATCCGACCTCGCAGAGTAATGTTGCCGTTTATTGGGGTGAGCTTGCCTGAACGTCTCTAGCATTACTTGTGGATTTTGTATTAACTCAGGAAAGGACAAAACTCATACGGACAGGGCTCTGGAGCTTATGTCCAGCAACGGCTCTCATATTATTGTCAAAGTAAGCTCCCTCAGCCGAACGACATATATTAACAAAGCTAATAAGATAAAGATACGGAAATCAACGTACGGAAATACTCTCAAAGAAGTCCCTATCTAATTTTCTAACCAATCGCGTAGATCATCCCCCTCGCATTTTTGAGTTCTATCAACACGCCAGTCCTCAACTTTGCCAACCAAGGAGACCCATGCACGGTAATTTCAGGATCTACGTTATTTTACTGTTCAGAGCTCGAGTAAGTATAAATTCTTAACTCCTTTTTAGCACCTTCTCTTAACATCCAATCTAGAGCCGACATTACCACATGCCAGGAGACATATGGCAAGACAATTTTGCTTTCTGTTGGCGGGGCCACTTATACCGAGGGCGGTTTTACATCCACACAAGCTGCCACAACCGCTGCAAATAACCTTTGGTCATGGTTTGGACCTGACACCTCAGGTGACATTCGACCTTTCGGAACCGCTGTAATTGATGGATTTGATTTTGACTTCGAAAGCACGGTATCCAATATGCCTGCATTTGGAAATCAGCTCCGCTCGTTGATGGATACAGATAAAAACAAAACATGGCTTCTATCCGCTGCTCCACAGTGTCCTTATCCTGATGCCGCAGATGGACCAATGCTTGCTGGAACAGTATCTTTCGATATCGTTTGGGTGCAATTCTACAACAATTACTGCGGAGTACAATCATTCGTCCCCGGTGTGTCAACGCAGAATAACTTTAATTTTGATACTTGGGACAACTGGGCCAAGACAGTATCACTAAACCCTAACGTTAAAGTCATGCTAGGCATACCATCAAACACTGGAGCTGGAGCTGGGTACACTTCTGGGGCCGCTCTTGCGAGCGTCATCGCATACTCGAAGAGTTTCTCCAGTTTTGGCGGCGTCATGATGTGGGATATGAGTCAACTTTACGCAAATGCCGGATTCCTCGATGCGGTCAACGTGGATCTCGGAAAGCCGGCTGTAACCGTACCAGTCACAACTAGCACTGTTACTAGCACTGTTACTAGCACTGTTACTAGCACTGTTACTAGCACTGTTACTAGCACTAGTACCAGCAAATCTTCAGTCACTTCCACTACTACTTCCGCTACTACAACGACTCCAGGCTCTACTCTCACGACCATAACAACAACTAGCACCAGCCCTACTTCGACTGGCGGTCCGCTTGTCAATGAATGGAACCAATGTGGTGGACAGGGCTGGACTGGAGCCACTAATTGCGTCTCTGGCACAACTTGTGTTGCATATAGCATCTGGTACTCACAGTGCAATCCCAACTAGATTCCGATCTAGTGACAAGGGTGGCGATATTTGAGCCTCAACATATCATGATAGCAAGATGTTATTCATTGTCTCATATTTGTATATTTCTTTCAGATTGTTTCACATACCTTCAACTTATTCGATTCCTTTGTATATACTTGGAGCCGTAGGGTTATTCAACGGTTCGGTCGCTTTTTCTTTCGATTAATCGCACATGTTTCATAAATATGGCAAGTGGATGAGGCATCTTCTTTATCTTTTCAAATAGAATTTTATTTAGTAGCTCATTATATACCAAATTTATAAGACTTTCTGATTCGAGAATGAAACATCCAGACCGTCTATTTCTCGTGATTCCAAGTAGGACTCGATACTTTTTTAACGTGTATGTATTACCCTGTACTCGTGTGTTTCTTCGCATCGACTCCTCGACGTCTTCTTCATGAGAAATACGACATCCCATATCTTCTCTCAAAAATTCTGTGTCTAAGTCGACGTGGATCACTCAGCTTGTTGGGATGGGCTGGTCAACGTTTCCCATGATTCTTGTTCGCCGTGTGGAATTTGATCTTACCTCGTGATTCTACTGTAATGTTATAGAAAAATCAAGTTCTAATCCATCTTTAATTTTTGAAGAGACATTGCATTGATTTAAATACTCGGGAAAGCCAGAAGATTCGAGAGCTAGATAATTTTAGTAGAAAACTAACGATTTAGCTTGAAGGCTTCAATTCAACTCCGTTATACTTTCAAACCTTCAACCCTGTTATTATTCAGCTAGTCAAAAATCTGATTTCAAGCTCTGAAGGTAAACCCCCATTCTTCAATTTCAAAGTTTCGGATGAGCATTTTATGTATTGTTGCGAGGGATACGATGACTCTCACCTGTATGTGGTGTATCCTACGAACCTTCGATCGTGCGATCGGAGAGCTAAGTAGAGTCAGCTGGAGCCGGGTGATGGTTGTACACTAATCGAAGGCCATATTGGGAGCAAAGGTATATATAGCTGATTATCAAAGAGTGATTGTGAAAATATTCGGAACAAAGGATTATTAGTAAAATGGAGATGAAAACCATTTGATGGTGGAAGGGAGATGAAAGTAGGATTGATATGGAACTATATTTTTATGAATTTGTATGAGGAGTAGAGTCAGAGTATATTGTAGCAGAATATTTGTAAAGTAAAATTAGTTTTTGAAATAGCAAATAATGAAGTTTCTATAATATAGCTAAATCTAATTGAAGTTTGTATTAGGAGCAGGGCCAATATCCTTAACTTAATAAACAAAAATCGATAGAACATTTTTGGAGTATTAGTATATAGAGTTTTCACAATCCAATAATACATATAATCTATAAATATACTAAATTGAATATTTACAAATAATAAAGGAAATAATAGAAAGTATATAAAGGACTAAAATAGTATTTATTAAAGCCGGTGGAAGCATATATAGAGTAGGAGAAAAGATGTTTTTAACACTTTATCTCCAAATGTATAGAAGCAATATAAAAATGAAAAGCTCCAGTATAGAAAGAACGCTTTTAGTAAACCATATTCAACAATACTCGATTAATATTACAATAACAAAGAATCTCAGGTAAAAGCTAATCCTACGATATACATATACAACACACTCCTAGCGCTCTACTTTTGACTACAAATTATACATTGAGGGAGTAGATTTTATAAGCAAAGCTTTGATTAGTAGATTGGAAATACTATAAAAGGACTGTTTGGTTAGAGATCTGAAATAGCAAGTCTGCGAGATATAGTCGGCCTTATTGTATAGAAGAGATCCGGCAAGGTAACACAAAACAGCTACTAGCCATGAGGTGTAGTATATAATAACAGTAACAGCAACACTATCTATATAGCTCGAGAGGATAGATATGTATATCGGTTTATAATCGAATACTATAGGGTAGAGAGCATAATGAAGGTATCAGATAGATTTAAGAAACAAACAGGAATAGAGGTGTAAAGGAATAGTTTTGATTCTGACTGAAACTTCCGAAGGTAATCATGCAATAAGTGATTTAATATAATCAGAAGATTCTATAGAAGCCTAGTACTAGTGGCTTTATCACAAGTAAGCTGAGAAAACGTCTATAGGTATAGCGAATCTACTTTGTATTATAATATATTCTAGAAAGTAGTTATAATATAATTCATTTCTGCCAAACAGTACCAGAAATGGGACCCAAAGAGCACGAACAAATGCCCTAAGGAACTAGAACTCTCACGAGCAACTCTCCATCGCATGCTAGCGATCCGCTCAGCACATGACAACTTCGAAAGCTACCACCGATGATTTAAATATAAGGAAGCAATAATTTATTGCTCATGTAGAGCATTCAAATCCCCCGAGCATATTATACATTACCGCAAAGTCCTCGCAATCTATGAAACTTGACCCCTAGATATCAAGTCCAAATATCCACTCTACAATCAAGTAGCTTAAGAACGACTACTAAAACAGTTAATGCATATATCAATCAAATTCGCTAAATTTATTGTTATAATAGATTTTTATAAAAGTATATACCCTAAAACACTATTAGAAGAATAAAAAGAGAGAAGGAAAGGGATCGATTGATTCAGGCGAATATAAATAGGGAGTAAGAAGAAATAGATTTAGAAAAGCTACATAAAAGAAAATTAAAGCACACGGTATACCATGTTACAATAGAATATATATAAAAGCTATCTTTACAGGATAAAGCAGCTTTCAAACAAATATTATATAGAAAATCAGAAAATGCACATAGAGGTATTCAAAGGATTGGAGACAAAGGCACAAATGCACTAGTTATCGCTTGAAAGGCTATTGAGAGTATTGAGACCCCATCCCTAGAAAAAGGGAATTATATAAATTAGAAGATTATCCCGCAGTTAGCCCAACCGTAATGCCCCCTAGGAGGCTCGCCTATACGGCCCGGTTGAAAATTACTAATAATAATAATAATAATAATGTATTGTTGCGAAAGATCCTATAAGTAGGCAGCTAAGTAATTACCAAGGATTTTTCTACTTTATAGTTGAGCTATCCAGACAAGGTAAATGCTAATACTAGTATAAAGTTTACTATGAACGATTCGGTTTTTATCTGTTTTGAAGAGCTGGAAGGCTTGATCATTAATCCAAGAAATCATTTTATCAGAATATAATCTAGATCTATATATAATGACTAGAAGCTTGAGCCCCTCTATATCTACTATATATTTTTAAAAACCTCGTCTAAAGCTAGCAAGAATTGATAATTTAAGCTATTTATTTATTTATTTATTTATTTATTTATTTATAGTGATTAACGTCTAATATCTGATCTCCCAAGGGGTATTCTAGATGTACTAAAGAGCGGGCCTACGGGCCGCTAGTATTCCAGCTGCTCATAGTAGTGTAATGTTAACTAATCAGGGGCTTGTTGCCTCTGGTGTTCTCTTGCTTAGTACTGCTTATAACAATCCTGTAGCTGTTCTGTCTAAGGGTTTGTAGTCCTGTTTTAGAGAGCCTTGTTTTGTATGTTATTTGGGTGTTAGTGGATGATTGGGTTGATCGCTATTGATCGGGAGAGTGTTCAGAGCACTTATAACTAGTCGGTGCGGGTTTTAGATTGATTGGGGTGGAGAGTTTGTCCTTGGGGTACTGGAGCAGATTGATATCTGTATGATTATATATAGTTTGGGCATATCCTAATGTAAAATCTAGATCTAGTGAGAAGATCAGTAAAGCTATATTGTAATCATAGGACGTAGTTAATATATACTATTGTATTCTATTCGGATTGTAATCGGTTTGGTATAAATAACTAGTTGCTGTGTGTCTGATTATTGATTGAATATCGAAAAAAGTGTAATAGGCTTTTCTCGATCCTATATGTATAAATGTTTTTATTATTTTTGTGATTGAATCTGGTATAATAGGTTGTAAAGTCATTGTGTCCGGTTTGTATCGCTATAAGTCTGTGTAATACTCTGTGGGGAAGCTTGAGGTTCCCCGGCTTCGAGGTGTTATATACTGGTTTCCATGTATTGTATGTTTCGGAGATCAGATCTCTTTTTGTATTCTATCACTTACTCTCTAAATACTGATATTTGGCATATAGAACAAAGCGAGAGTTGCTGACGGTGGAGAGGCACGATGGGCTAGGATCAAGTGGTCCAGTTGTATCTTGATTGGCAAAACAATTGGCTGCCTTGTTGCTTTCTATCTCAGTATGCCCAGGGGATTATTTGATTATGATATTGTAGTATTGCATTGCTTGATGGTATTTATAATAAGCTTATTGAAAGAAATCAGTAGTGTTCCCTTGCATTCCCCAGATTACTGAGGTGCTATCAATATATAGCTATATTTGGCCTTGATAAGGGTGTTTGATAATATTCAGAAGGCGTTCCAATCCTTGCTACACACCAATCGCCTTGGTATCAAAGATATATAACTGTTCGCGTACACAGCCGTAATCGCTATCGACCTATTGCTTACCGCAATAAATCGCAAAACCGTATCCTACACGGTAACTGTGTTTATCGTATTATTCAAATCCATCTAAGAATACAAAATAATCTTTTTAGGGAATTAGATTCTACTAATCTTTAAACGTTTCTACAATATCCTCTTTGCTTATACTATTAATTGGATTAGTATGACACTCAGAGAAAAAGTGTAGTTATAGGAGTCTGGAATACTCAATCACAGGGATTGCTTGTTTCATTCTTTACAATCTAGTAATAAGATCTTTCAATATACTTATACCTTATCCTCTCTTTCTGATATACAACTTCAATCGGTTTATAAATAGATATTGTATATCTACTATCTGAAGTTAAAATGTAAACCTCAATCTGGCTTGCTTTAGTGTAACAATTCTAGTTAGGAGATTAGCTTTTATAAAGAGTGTGATTATCGGGATTGTCTTATAGATAGATAAAGCTCCTTATACTGCATTATAAATCGTTTTGCTAACTAGATCGATATATTTCTTGATCCTGATGTCAATTAGAATATAACCTG